GATTCCCAGTCGGGGCACATGCCCGGGTTGCAGGCTCGATCCCCAGTAGGGAGCGATGCAGGAGGCAGCCAATCAATGACTCTCTCATCACTGATGTTTCTATCTTTCTCTCCCTCTCCCTTCCTCTCTCTGAAATCAATAAAGACATATTAAAAAAAAAAAAAAAGAAAAATATCCTATGTGAGGATTGACAACAACAACAAAAATCAAGAGAAATTAAACAATATTTTGAACTTAACTAAAATTAAAATATGTGGGATGCAATGAAAGAAGAGCTAAGAGGAAAATTTGTGGCCTTGAATTCACATATTAGAAGAATAAATATCTAAAATCAATAACCTAAATTCCACTTTAGGAAACTAGAAAAAGAACAACAATTTAAATTCAAAGTAAGCAGAATTAAATAATAAAATTTAGACCTAATATCTATAAAATTAGAAACAGAAAATACATTTAAGCCTGGCCAGCGAAGCTCAGGGGTTGAGCATCGACCTAGGATCCAGGAGATAGAGGTTCGATTCCCGGTCAGGGCACATGCCCCGGTTGAGGGCTTGATCCCCAGCCAGGGGACGTGCAGGAGGCAGCCGATCAATGACTCATTGTTGATGTTTCTATCTATTTCTCTCCCTCTAGCTTCCTCTCTGATATCAACAAAGACATATTTTAAAAGGACAAGAAAATACATTTTAAAAAATAACTGAAATCAAAAGTTGGTTCTTTGAAAAGTTCAATAAAATTGATAAACCTCTGGATAGGCTAACCAAGAAAAAAGAGAAAGAGAAGATCAAAGTACTAATATCAGTAATGAAAGCAGTAATGAAAGACAGGTCATCACTAATGATCCCATGGACATTAAAATGATTATAAAAGAATATTATAAACAAGTCTATGCTCCAAAATTTGATAACTTAGGTGAATGAAATAACTCCTTAAATGACACACTCTGAGAAACTCACACAAGGAGAAATTTATAATCTGAATGGATCTATTAAATAAATTGAATCAATAATTAATAACCCATCAAACTATAAAGCACCAGGACCAGATGGGGTCACTGTCAAGTTACACCAACATTCAAGGAAAAAAATATACCAGTTCTCTATAATCTATTTCAGAAAGTCAAAGCAGAGGAAATACATCTCAATTCATTCTGGGAGGCCAGCATTACCCTAATACCAAAACTGAACAAAGACATCACAAGAAAGGAAAATTAAGGCTGATATCTCTCATGAATATGTATGCAAAAATTATCAACAAAATATCAACAAATAATAGCCAGTAATATATAAAAATATAATACATCTCAAGCAAGTGTGATTTATTCCAGGTATGCAAAGCTTGGTCGACATTAAAAAATCAATTAATGCAATCTATCATATCAACTGAATAAAGAAGAAAAGTCAAATAATCCTATCTATATGTGCAGAGAAAAGCACTTGACAAAAACTAAGGCCTATGCATGCTAACAATTCTCAGCAAACTAGGAACAGAGGGAGACTTCTTTAACTGGATAAAGAACATCTATGAAAGCTCTACAGTTAGCATCATAGCTAATGGTGGGAAACCAGGTGCCTTCCTGCTAAGATCAGGAACAAGGCAAGGATGTCCCTTCTCATCATTCCTATTTTATATCATAATGGAAGCCCTAGATAATGCAATAAAACAAGAAAAGGAGTAAAACATATACAAATTGAAAAGGAAGAAATAAAACTATCTGTTTGCAAACAACATAGTTGTCTCAATAGATAATCCCAAAGAATCAATAACAACAAAAGCCTCCTGAAGCTAATAAGCCATTATAACAAAGTTGCAGGATACAAAATTAATGTACAAAAGTCAATTGCTATCTTGTATGGTAGCAATGAAACCAGAATTTAAAATTTAAAACATAATACATTTATATTAGCAACAAAAATACGTGAAATACTTAAGTATCAACCTAACAAAATATGTACAAGATCTACATGGGAGAAAGTACAAAACTCTGATGAAAGACATCAAAGGAGATTTAAATAAATGAAGAGATAATCCATGTACATAAATAGAAAGATAAATTTATACAAGATGTTAGCTCATCCCAAATTGATCTATATATTACAAGAAATTATTTTGTGCGTATGGACAAAGTACTTCTAAAGTTTATATGAAAAGACAAAAGACCCAGTATAGTCAACACAATGTTAGAAAATAATTTAGAGGACTGGCCCTACCCAACTTCAGGACTTACAATAAAGCTTTAGTATTTAAGACAGTGTGTTATTGGCAAGTAATATATAAATGTATCGATGCAACAAAGACAGCCCAGAAATGCATGCTCACAAATAGAGTCAACTGATCTTTGACAAACACAGTAGTTCAGTGGAGAAAGGATCATCTTCTTAACAAATGGTGACAGAACAACCAAAAGCAGTGAATCAAGACACAGATGTTATACCCTTCACAAAAATTCATTCATAATAATCATAAACCTAAATGTAAAATGCAAAACTATAAAATGTCTAAAAGGAAATATTAAAGAAAATACAGTTGACCTGGAGTTTGGTGGGTTTTTGGTTGGTTTCTTTGTTTAGGTTTAACACAAATGAATAATCCATGTCAGAAATAATGATAAATTAGACTTCATTATGGTAAAAACAAAACAAACAACCAAAAAGAACTTCTTTGTGAAAGACATTGTTAAGAGAATAAAAAGATGGGTCACAATCCAGAAGATATTTTTAAAACACATATCTGATAAAGGACTGATATGCAAAATATACCAAAAAAACCCTCAAAAAAAACAAACAAACAAACAAATAAAAACACCTCTTAAAATTCAACAATAAGAGAAAAAAACAACAACTCAATAAATAGGCAAGAGATTTAAACAGACACCTCACCACGAAGCTATAGAGACAGCAAATAGGCATACGAAAAGATGCTGAACATCATATATCATTAAGGAATTACAAATTAAAAGAAGATACCATTATACATCTATTACAATGACTAAACTCAAAGCGCTGAGAACACCAAATCTGGCCAGTATGTGAAACTGAATTCTAATTCATTGCTGTTGGTATGAACAATTATACAGCCACTTTGAAAGACCTTCTGACAATTCCTTACAAACTAAACATCCTCTTCCTATAATATCCATGAATTGTGCTCTCCGGCACTTACCCATCTGCGGTGAAAACACATGTCCACATAAAAATCTCACATGAATGTTTATAGCAGCTTTATACACAATTGCTGAAATTTGTAAGCAACCAATATCTCCTTCAATGGGTGAACAGATAAATAAACTGGAGTATATCCAGAGAATGGAGTACTCAGTGATAAAAAGATCTGAGCTATCAGGCCATGAACAGACACGGAGGATCTTTAAATGCGTATTGCTAAGTGAACAAAGCTAAACAGAAGAGGCCATACACTGCATTAATCCCACTCTGTGACTTCTCGGAAAAGGCAAGACTATGGAGACAGGAAAAGATCATAGGTTAGCAGGGCTCAAGGAGAAGAGTGAGATCAATAGATGGATACAGAGTTTTAGGGCAGTGAAATTATTCTGTATGATACAGCACCGGTGGGTACACATCAGTATACACTGGCACAAACCCACAGGATGCTTCACACAGAGTGACCTCTAATGACTGCAGTCAAGTATGGACACTGGCTGATCCCCTGTAACAAACACACTACACCGTTGCAAGATATGTGTGTGAAACCCTGTGTGTGTGGAGGGGGAGTGATGGGAAGGTATATGAGAACTCCGTATTTTCCACTCAATTTTTCTGTTAATATAAAACTGCTCTAAAAATAAAGTCTATTAATATTTTAAAAAGAACTTGGTAAAAAGAAGCAAACTAAAAATGAAAACATTCTATGTCATAATCTAATGTGGAATATTAAGGAAACAATGTTTCTGCAGAATTACACATACATATTCAAACAATAATTGCCCAAATCATCTACTTAATCTTTTGGGCTTCACAGAGGCAGGCAATAAAAGGCAGAAAATCACTCTTCAATGGACTTGCAAATTGTATATGGCATAAATCAGAATAAAGTGATCGAGGATAAGATATGCTCATTTGTGAAATCAAATGAAAAAAATCGCCTTTATTGGTTCTTGAGTAGCAGAGGTGGCTTTCTGAGCCTCCCCCAGCCAGCTGTGGATCCTGAGAAAATAGTAACTGATGATAATGATTAATTCTAAATAAGAGTGTTTCATTGTTTGGTAATTTAAATACTATTGAAAAGCATCTTAATTTGGAAGAAACTTGGCAATATACCAGTGTTTTCACTTAAGACCTTCTGGGGGGAAATCAAACAAATATTACTTTCAACATAGTTCTCTGGGTTTATGTCATGATGTTTTATACTACAATTTAAAATAAAACAATTACAAATAATCCTGAAACCTAAACTATTGCTTTTAAAAGTTTTAATTCATTCCCTCTATAGGTTGTAATTCTAATTCTTTGCTGTACAAGTAAACATTTCTATCAAATCAATGCCAAAGAAAGCAGCCTTGGATTAACTTATTGATATTATTACTACTATAAAAAAATCTACATCTCAAATATAAAAATGCTCCTTAATCATGAAACCAAAACTAAATAAACAAAATAAGTGTAAGAAATAAACATGAAAAATGATAATTTAAATAATTTATATCACAGATTTGAACGTGAACTTAAACACTTGTGATATCTTTTATTACTATAGTAACAAAAGACTTTTGTTTTAACTGGTTGACATTTGATAAAATGTGGAAATATATGATGTCCAATATAGTTGCACTACCAGTCATGCAAGAATTCAGAGCACTGCCTGGTCTACACTCTGATATTTTCCTAAGTGACATTGAAGGCTTCTCAACTAAAACTTCTAAAACAACAAATCCCAGACCTGATTACAATTTTCCTTTTGTAGAAGATCAGAAAGAAACCTTACAAAATTAGGCTGTACAACATTTCGGTGAATAAGAGACAGAAACACTGCAGGCCTCCTACCTTAACACGGCGTTTCTCCCATCACTTCTTGTACACCAAACCTGCCGGGTCTGGTAGCCTGTCTCTGCGTCCCAGGGCGTGGCGTGGCGATGTGGCTTGTAACTCTGGTGTCTAAAGGTGACCCGCTCCTTCGAGTCAGAGCTAAAGTCCAGAACAGTTCTTCCGCTTAGGTTAATTTCCTTAAGCTGAGGCAGCCTGCATTTACTCCACGGTCCAACTTTAAGGCTAAAAGTGTATTCGCCTTCCCCAAGAGGACAGGAAACGGGAGCGTCACAGACTCTCGTCTCGGTCAGATTGGGACACTGAGAGCCTCCATAGAGGGGCGGGGAGATGGCCACGCGGGTCCTGTGCTGCAGCTGCTTCCCACACCCCTGGGTGCACTTGGACCACTGCGAGAACTCAGACACTACACAGTCCCGGGGGCACGGGATGAGGCACGCCTGCTCCGTCGGGGGCCGAGGGGCGAAGTGTTCGCACGCTTCGTTCGCAGCCGCGGTTCTGTTTAACTTCTGCACGCAGCGCACGGCCCGGTGCTGCAGGCCATGCTGCGCGGTCACGCACTCTGCAGCCTGGGGCCTGGCGTGGCCCAGGGCGCGGGGCGCAAGCACACAGTGGTGCCAGTCGGAAGCCTCCCACTGGAAGAGGTCTCTGTGCCAGTCACAGACGCGGAAGCAGCTTCTTTCCTTCGGCGGCCTGTTGCTCTCATCGCAGTGGGAGAGGTGGCTTGTCCAGCCTTCAAAGTGGAAGCACCACAGCGATCGAGTCTGGGTTCCCCCAGGCCCGCAGTCTCCTGTACACCTTCCCCAGGGGCCTACAGGCAGGGAAACAAGATGTCGGTTACTCGGAGATTCCGTGCCCCCATCCGCACAAAAACAGGGCAATCTGCACACTTCCCAACACAGCCAGTGTGAAAGTATAAATTCTGGTGGACGATATACTTTGGTGGTTAAGAACGTGGACTCTCCGTCATCAGTTGGCCCTTATGAAACCCCCGTTTCATCTCTTACCAGCAATACCCACTTGGACAAATTACTTCAAATCTCTAAGCCTTGCCCTGCCCGCGTGGCTCAGCTGGTTGAGCCCAGCCCTGGGCAGAAAGGTCGTCGGCTCGGTTCCCAGTCAGGCCACACACCGGAGGTTGAGGGTCGACCTATGAACTAGGAGGTCAGGGTTCGATTCCCGGTCAGGGCACATGCCCGGGTTTCGGGCTGGATCCCCAGTAGGGAGCATGCAGGAGGCAGCGATCAATGCCTCTCTCTCATCATTGATGCTTCTCTCTCTCCCTCTCGCTTCCTCTCTCTGAAATCAATAAAAACCTATTTTTAAAAAAAATGATAAGCCTTAGTTTCCTTAACTACATAGGAAGGAGAAGAGAAAGCGATGACTTATGGAGCCATCCTGAGGGTCAGTGATATAATGTGGTGCTGAGGAGACAATGCACACTTTAAAAAGATTGAAATCATTGTCATTATGATGTTCCAAGACTATATAGCTAATTCATTATTAATAACTTTCCAGTTAGGCAGAGTTTCATCTAAAAAAAAAGCCCTAAACCGAGGTTTTACTAGAGTAGGATTTATCATGTTTTCAATCCTTTGGCTCATATCCTAAATAGCTCAGAGGAGAAATGTGCTATTAAAAAATAATCTGCCAAAGTATCCTAAATAGATTTCATTTTCTAAATAGTTGCCCTCCATTTTTATTTTTGCTTGCAGAATAAGTTGCCATAAAAATGGGAAAAAAATATGATATGAGGGATAAAAGTAAGGTAATAAAAGAAAAATTAGCACTGAATTGCCTATGGAAACCCTGCTCCTACAATCCTTGAAATACACCCGTTTTGATTTCTGACAGGTATTGACTCCAGGTAAAGCTTCCAACACTGCCTTGTAATATGCCGAATCTTTAAATTAATGAATTTGCTTTTGTGGGAAAGAGTACAAGACATGGACAGATGAAAGATCTGCCAATTGATGTCTCTCACTTTTTCTGTGACATATCAGCTTGGCTTGTCCAGAAGGCTCATCATAGATCTGTTCGTTTGCTTTGTGGCTGTCCCTTTATTTATTCATTCATTCAGTACATACTGAGCATCTAAAATACGCCAGGCATTAACCTTCCAAGAAACAATACAGAAGGGTTTCACAGCTCTGTGACCTCACTGATTCTGGTTCATTCACATCCATTCCCATGGCCGCACCTTAGCTTTATCACCACCTGGAGCTGGGTCACTCCGGACTCATGCTCCTTTGTCCCCTCCCTGCCTTCACCACGACCATCCCCAGCTCAGTTCAATCCAAATAAGCCACAGAAGGTTTGGTGGAATGGCATGGTCCCAGACGAAGCCCTGGCCTTTGGAGTCTGTGGTTTGCATCTGCCTCTGTCAATTGCCAGCTCAGCCTCCATAAGCCTCAGTTTCTCCATCTGTATGTTGGAAAGAATGATATCTAAATCATAGGCTTTGTTATGAGGAATAGAGAATGGGTATCTTAACCATGTAGCATAGATCCTGGCACATAGTGAGTACGAATAAATAGCAACTAGCATTATTTTGTCTGTTTCTAGTGCAGGTCTGCTAAGCCCTTCTGGGGAAAATTGCATATTCATGTTGCTGGGATCCGTTACAAATTTATGAGCTCCAAAGACTCCAAGTAATCCCATTTTGTGTCAATAGAAAAAAAAAAAATGTCTCCCTTTTATTTCATTTAAATATGTAATATGAACCTGAAAAAAGTTTATCAGCTGAACCATGTAACCTTTGGCAGCATACTATGATTGTGATAACCATAAAAGCAATTCACACCCTGAGAAACATTTTAATTTATACAAGTGAGAGGAAGAAGGTACAGTCTTTCTCCAAATCTGATCAAACATCCAAAATGCCACTTAATTACTTCATGGAGTATATTTTCATGCACATCTATTATATTTCTAGGAAGAGTGCATGTATACACAGTCACATGCATTTAGAAAGAGACAGAAGCAGCCCCAGAGAGAGGTTATTTGTCCCTGGGGCCGCATGCCGCAGTGGGATCTCTCTCTCTAGTGGGGCAATGGTTGGGTTCGAAAGCACACAGTCATCCCAGCTTTTCCTCACGGCCCCGTGCTGGATATGTAAACCTGGAGTTCTAGGCAATGCCCTGCAAAGCTATAGCAATTTGTTACTTTGTGAGAGAAACATAGAAATATCTTCTCTTCTTTTAGTACATCCACGCTAGAGTCTCCTCTTGCGGAAATGGACAGAGGAGTTTCACTGGAGTAAGTCAGCCTTTACTCGCCAAATGCACCAAATGCCTTCGGGTGGCCACATGCTTCCCCAGGCATGTTGCCCCGGCCCTGCTCATGGCCAGGAAAGGCACGTGCATAAGTGGTGCTCTCAGCACAAACTGATTTAATTGACTGCTCTCGACTCTCCTGATTCCCTCCTGGCTCACCCATGATTTTGCACTTTGTATCTTTAGATGTTCATTGTTACATGAAAGGTATATTCAGGCCTAATAGGTCCAAATGTTCTGGAGCTGTTTCAGTTTAACATGCCATCCTCTGTCCATCATGTCAGACTACACATGCACATTTTTATTATTACAAAAAAAAAAAAGTCACCATGGTTATTTAGGAAAGGAATATCTTGAAAAAACATATGTTGCAGCCAACTTTTAAAATCTAAAATCAGCCTTGATTTATATGAAACAGTTATTGAATAAAAAGGAAGCTTTCTTTGTAAAGCACTGGGTTTTAAAATAATGGCTGTCAGCTTTTCTCCATTTGTTTAGGTATCAAATACACGCAGTTTTCCAGTGAGGATTTTTTCATGTGCAGATTAAAGAATCTAAAACCTGAAAAGCTGAGTCATGTCAAACTAATCTTGAAAAAGCTAATATTAAATTTAATTCACCTAGAACATTTTACAAGGCGATCCTTATTCTTACTTTTAAAGCATTTAGTGAACACATTTCTTATTATTAAATGTTGTTTTCTTATAAGTTGTTTTTTTTTGCCTACTTTCAAAATTCTGAAGGTAGCTCTTTTTTGTTGTTTGAAATCATTAATATTTTAACATTATAAACTATTATTCTTTCCTTGGCTTTCACATCCTCCATCTATACAGAATTTTACCAAACAAGGAAAAACTTTTCCTAGATTAATGGAAGACAAAAGATAATTAAGAAATAATTACTGCCATTTCTTGAGGGCTAGCAGTGGCGAGCTGCACCTCACTGGTGCCAGGGGACGGTTACATATTTAGGAATTTTACCTGGTGGCTGTTAAATATTCATAGTTGGAAACTGGCCCTGGTGGGAGAATTTATACCACACTACAAATCAAGACAAATCAAGGCTTTTTTTTTCCCCCCCCAAAAACAGAGAGCGACCACTTGTGATTTGCCAAGTACCTTCCCTCCTGTTCCTTATAACTATTCCATGAGGTGGGGCTGGTGAGTATACTTTATCCGCTGGGGAAAATAAACTTCAGAGAAGCACATCCAAAGGTATACAGGCAGCACGTGGAGGCTAGAAGGGGACTCCAGACCCGGGTGACTCCTGGCTTGGGCGCTCGCCCTGCATTTGAAAGGCGCCTTTCCAGCTGTGCATTGGTGTGCGTGATCCTAAAATCACAGGGCAGATTTGTCTGTAGCTTGGTCATGATCCCTTCTATCTGTTAGTTAATATTCTTTCGAGGTGGTATGTGAGCAGTGATCTCCCCCTCCCTCCCGCCCTGGAAAGTTAGAACAGCAGCTCTTGTGCAGTCAGACCCACGCATGTTTATACACATTAGTCAGCCATTTAGGCAGCCACAGTCAAGGGAGACTAGTTCTTCTTATGTGAAAGCCAAGGACTAAAAACGGTGTAAGTAACAAGCAAAAATAAAGTGAATTGTGTTTGCTTGGAATAAACGAAAAACAAGTCGTAAGCAAGACGTGTGAGATGGAGACGAGACTTCTCAGCGATTGACCTATAATAATTTTCATTTTTCAGGCACCAAGAGAAAATGTGTCCCATGATTTATTCAGTTATGTTTGGCTATGAACTTTAAACACACACAATAGTGAAAATCACACAGCCCTGAGAAATTCTTCCATTTCAAAAAAAAAACCACACACATTAAAGTGAAATGTGACCTGCAACTTGAGAAATCTTATATCCCTGTCCAAGTTCAGAAATAAAAGAGCGTAGCAAAATTCCTGGCATGAAGAAAAAGAATATCACCTTTAAATTTGTCCTGTACATATAATATTACATTCAGAATATATACCTGAGATAAATCATCTAAAGAAAAATATAAGAAACCCTTGTTTTAAATATCAATCATTTTATATTTCTTAACTGAGAACAGGTCTCAAGTAATACAAATAAAACAAAATTTAGTGCAATTCAAGAAGTGAAAGTTTACCTACAGACCTACTATGGCTCTAAGCTAAAACTCGAACTGTGTTCTACTTGCAGGAAACATTTCCATGATATAATAGGAAGAGCAGCTCTGTACTTGTTTACCTGGACCAGCAGGAGGTACAAACATCATCCACCTGCAACTTACTCCCTTTCTGTGGGATAAACACAGTTACCTGGCAATAAAGTGCTACATATTATAAGCCATGCCCGTGTCAATGAACAGGTTAAAATTCTGGGGTAGGAGTAAATCGTTTGGACTGGAAGGGGGGCACTGATGAACTCTCAGGTCACATTCACATTGAACACTGTGATTTCTCTCCCCCTCTCTCTCTCTTGTTTTGTGCCCGTGTTGCTGCAGAAAGTGCAAATATCAGAATGCTCTAATGTAATATTCCTCCGGAAGCAGAAAAGTGCTGGCAAA